AAAGTCTTACCATGTGCTTTTTATTTTGGAGTTCTTTGGATGTTAATCTTAACTGATGGTCTGCTTGCACTATTCATTGTGCAGCTCAAGTCCCAGAGTGGAAATATTAGAGATGCAGTGAATAAAAAGTATGGAAACTTCTGTCAAAACTTTTCTTCCCACCACACCCAATGAACAACTTCTTTTCCCAACTGCAGGACAGAAATATTACTATTTCCAGGAGCTGTGACACGCAGACCAAATATGCCTAAACTCTTCTTTTCCAACTCAATGCCTTCCAGATGTGTTTTGGCACCTGAAATTCCCCAGCCAGTATGCTAATTCTGAGAACTGTAGTTCCAGTTCCTCTGAAGGGCATCAGAGGGCTGGTTTAATATATAGAGTTCCTTTCAAAATCCAGTCTTTATCTTGGCAATCAAGAAGAAAGGGACACTGGGATCTTCCAGAAGTCTCCAACTTTGGCAACTTTAAGACTTGTGGACTTCAACTCCCAGAATTCCTCCTGTTGGTTGAAGAATTCTGGGAGTTGAAGTCCATAAGTCTTAAAAGGTGCCAAGGTTGGAGACCCTTGCATATACTTTGAGATTTGTCTTCCCCTGGCCCAGCTGTTTTATCACTTTTTTGGTATTCAGCTTTGTTCGGGTATTTTTCCACGTCATAGTTGTGCTTTTAAAGTTGTAGCAACGTTTCGGCAGAATCTCATCTGCCATCATCAGGCTTCTGTATGATGATGGCAGATGAGATTCTGCCGAAACGTTGCTACAACTTTAAAAGCACAACTATGACGTGGGAAAATACCCGATCAAAGCTGAATACCATACATATAAATACCCGCGAAAACTTAAGAAAACATATATATATATAGGCCTGGGTCAATTTGTTTTATAATTCCCATTTCAATCAGGTTTCTAGTGGGAGTCATGATACCATTTTGTGTAGTGCAATTGCAAAAGTGTGGGGGTATTAACTGATCAATGCAGCTTCTTTCGAAGAACGCCTGTTTTAGATGTATCTTGGTGAGCTTTGAGGGAAAAAGAACATCTGAAGAGATCAAAATCTGCTGTCGTTCCTCAGCGTAAGCCTCCTCAGCCTTTACAGGTAAGGAAAGGAATCTGAGACACCCAAATCCATTTGGAAAAGCACAGAAGGCCCACAGAAAGCAAATATGGGAGGAGGATTTGAAAAGCAGCCTGTCTCCTGCAAGCCAAGTAGCATCTGTAAGAAACATGGTTTTTTGCTGGTCTTGAGAAGCTAAGTTTCCAGGTTAATGCTTGGATGATAGGTCACTGTGAAGTCCCTAGTTGGGTGGTCAACTGAAAATTTTAAAAAATCCCCCCCCCCCCAAAAAAGAAAAAGAAATGATGATCCACATCTTACTGTCGCCAAGAAAACTAGAGGGACATATTTGTAAAGTCAGATGAAACTGAGCATGACTCAAGGAAATCTTTACACTTTGCCCTCCTGAGCCATTAAGCGTTCCTGGGCTGGGCGACAATGAATGTGAGCCTCTCGGCACAGGACTTCCAGCACCAGACAAAATTTGGTCTCTACTGCCCAGCAAAAGCACCAATCTAATCCTGCAAACTATTTCCATGGATTACAGCTAAAATATTTTCACAGAAAAAAACCCCAGACCAACCAGTACAGTGGCTTGGAGGGAAAGGAGAGCCTGAACTGGTGTTACCTTATGTCGTTAGCACTGAAGGGAATTATTTTGTACGAAAGGTGGAAAAGGAGGACATGAGAGCTGAGGCTGGTGGATCAGCACCTCCCCATCTTAGTTGAGTAAGGAGTATAATTGGCTTTTTGTTCTTCTTCCATGTCTAGATCAAACTTTAAACTGCCAGAAGGAACCAACCTTCTTGAGTTTGTCGTTGGCCAAAAATAAGTCATTATTGGTACACATTTCAGGTAGTCCTCGGCTTACAACCATTTGTTTAATGACCAAAGTTACAAAAACACTGAAAAAAGTGACTTATGCCTGGTTTTCACACTTATAACTACCGCAGCATTCTCATGGTCACATGATCAAAATTCGGGCACTTGGCAACTGGCATGTATTTATGATACTAACCTCGGATCGTGTGGTCACCATTTGTAACCTTCCCAGCCGGCTTCCGGCAAGCAAAGTCAATGAGGGAAAGCCAGATTCACTTAACGACCACATGACTCACTTAACAACCACAGTCATTTGTTTAACAGCTGTGGCAAAAGTAGCAAAACAATAGCACTCAGACTTATATACCGCTTCACTGTGCTTTACAGCCCTCTCTAAGCGGTTTTATAGAGTCAGCATATTGCCCCCAACAATCTGGGTCCTCATTTTATTGACGTCAGAAGGATGGAAGGCTGAGTCATCCTTGAGCCAGTGAGAATCGAACTGCTGGCAGTTGGAAGAATTTGCCTGCAATTCTGCACTTTAATATCTGTGCCACCATGGCTCTGATGGGGCAAAACTCATTTACCAACTGTCCTGCTTAGCAACAGGACTCAATTGTGGTTGTAAGTGCGGACTACCTGTACATTGCTCATTCCCAGAATCATCATTTTAAAAGAGGAACTCTGTGGAGCCAATTCCTGTAGGCACCGGTATAATTGAGAAGTAATCCAGTGACGAAACTGAGAATTCACTATTGCCTGTTTTCCAAGTATGATGAGATTTTTGGGGATAGGATTTAGGAGAAAGGAATTGGAGTTCTTCCCCTCTGGGACAGCATTTATCATGTGCCAGTGACAGTTTTCTGTGAGTTTTTACTTAGGAGCCATCAAGCTTAGTTCTTTCCTTCTGTGAAAAAGAAGCCAGTTTTCCTTCAAGTGCTGGGCAGCTGCTCAAATAAGAGCTCAAAAATTAGCAAAGAAAAAAAAAACCCAACAAGGAGGGGAAACAGAGCTTTCCCCAGTGAAACAAAATGTAAAGTGTCTACTGCTGCCATAAATGCGCTTTGGGTAAAAAGGTTATTGACAGGGCCACAAATTGGTGATTAGAAGACATCTGAACATTAGGGAAATAACTGCAGTTCAACCACCGTGACTACATCGGGCCTTGATCTTGTGGTTTTGTAAAAGGATAAGGAACCAAGAATAGCATTTGAGGAAGAGAATATTATCGGGGGATATCAGGGAAAGATGTAACCGATTATAAGCAGACCTCAACTTTTAATTGTTCATTTAACAATGGTTCAAAGTTATGATGTTGGAAAAAGCAACTTAATGATGTGCACTCACACTTACAACTGTCTCATCAACCCGGCAGCCACAGGATCTCAACTGAAGGGCTTGGGACTCACAATTGAAGAGCTGACTCACATTTACAACTGGTTGCAATGTCCTGTGGACAAGTGGTTGTGATTTGCAACCCTTTTTTTACCGTTTTCCAGCAAAAAGCACCCACTGGGGAACTGGATTTGTTTAACGACTAATTCATACATGATCACCAGAAAAATTATCATAAAACTGGGTTTCCCTCTACTTATGACCACAATGATTTACGATGGAAATTCTAGTCCAATAGTGGCCAAAAGTCAAGGATGACCTGTGTTCATTTTAAGTGTTCAATGAACCTTAGAAAGAGAGAATGCAGAGCTCAATATACACTTTCAGAAACATCTTGCTTCTGACTCTCATCTAACTGCCCATCAAGCCACATTCATCTGCAGGGACCCATCCTTATATCCAAATTAAACTTTAAAAATAATCCTGGATAACTGTCTCTGAGAAAATAGGGACAGCCTGCTCCAACTTGGCAATTTGTGGATGAGTTGCAACTGCAACTTCCCAGATACTATTGGGAACCTTAAGAGAAGCAACCAGGAAAAAATAGGACATGGAATGGCAAATTAGTGTTGTTTTATACTAGATATACTAAATAAGGAGAAACTTTCTGACAGTGAGAATAATCAACCAATGGAACAGCCTGCCCACGGAAGTTATGGGAGCACCATCAGTTGAGACTTTCAAGAAGAGATTGGACTGCCATTTGTCAGAAATGGTGTAGGGTCTCCTGCTTGGGCGGGGGTTGGATTAGATGACCTATAAGGTCCCTTCCAACTCTGATTATCTGTTATCTGTTATATGAAACCTTTGAACCATCTAAACTGAAACTGTCAATGCTGGCAAAGTCTCATGTAGAGAGAAAGGTATTTCTTACCCTGATACTTAAGATCCTTCATTGGAAATGCCAATAAGAACTGACTAATCTTCAATTTATGACCACCATTCAGCCTGGGATTCTGGTTATAAATTGCTGCGGTCATAAGTCACCCAACTTGATTTTACAACCATTTTTATGATGGCTGTTAAGTGAATTACCATGGTCATTAAGGGAATCATGCGATCATAAATCCGAATCTAGCCAGAAAATGCCAAAAAATGTCATAAACTGTGATCACGTGACCACAGGACACCGCAACTGGTTGTAAATGGGAGCCAGTTGCCAAGCACCCAAATTGCCCTTGCATGACTGCAGGGGCGGTGTGGCAGTCATAACTTTGAAGACAACTGGTAGCTTTTTAGAGTCCATCATAACTTTGAACTATTGTTAAACAACCGGTCCCAAGTTGGGAACTTCCTGTACTTTTCTGAATTTGTACCTGTATGCTCTGACCTCCTGAGAATGAGTGCATCACTTGGAAGGTATATTGGATGTGCCTGACTCATATTCAAAGACAGAGACTCCTTCAAAACCTTTTTTGGGCCTTCTCCTCTGCCCCCCAAGAAGTTTCCATTTTCTGCAGAGAAGATCTAAAGAGGGGGAAGATACTCTCCAAATCTCATTCCCCCATTTTGGGGGTGGGGTGGGGTGGATTTTGCAGTAGATCTAGAAATGGTGCAGGATGAAGAACCCACCCCCTTATTCTTCCACAGTAATTATGATACAACCAAATGGGAACCCCTCCACAACAGTCCCCCAAAAGAAAATCTCAAGGTCATAGTTAGAAAAGATAATGCAATGGAATCGAAGGATTTTGAATTTGTACGACGAAAGTTTCTGGATATAAACTGACTAGGACCACGTTGATTTTCTTGTTTACCTTCTTGGCTTTACTCCTGAAATTTCGATCAAACATTTGCAAGAGCTGGCATTAGGTTAGGGCAGGGGTCCCCAAACTTGGCAATTTTTGAGACTTTTGTGGACTTCAACTCCCAGAATTCTCTGGGAGTTGAAGTCCACAAGTCTTCAATTTGCCAAGTTTAGAGACCTCTGGGTTAGGGTATCAATGGCAAACATAGGCACTGCAACGTTTAAAGATGTCACAGGATTGGGATTTGGAGTTCTCCAACCATTGCTACAATTCCTCCTTTGACCAGTTTCAATGCAAGAGAACAGACTCCTTAGAATGAACAGATTGTGCCCATAGCTTCTTACACAAGGCAGAAAAGATATTTTGTATCCTTTACTATTTCATTTATTACCTTTTCTCACATTCGGCAGTAGCCAAGGGGACAGTGGAGAAAATGATTAATTGTGGAGAGTATTCACACTCCAGAAGATACCCAGGCCATGGGCAGGAAAGTTTAATGCTTGGTTTTAGGGCACCAAATAAGAACCAAACCTGTTAACCCCAAATCTGAATGAAATGGGAATGTTTTCTAATTAGTAGAAAAGCAGCGTTGCCTTTATCTCCAGCCTGAATCACCACCTGTGACCATCTGCCCTGTGAGGAGGAACACAGAGGGCTGCCCAGGAAGGAGGAGGAAGTGGTAAATAGCTGGAAAAGACCCCACCAGCAGAATGAAAATGGGACTCCAACGTTCTCAGTCCTTGGCATTAGCTTACTTTCTTTGAAGCACCCCCTTTGGTGTGCTAGGGACAAGTGGTTTTAACAGGCCTTCCAGTCATTTTTCCAAGTTCTCCGGCAATTGCCACTTCAGGGAGGGTGAAGGTGAGTTCACTGCCTTCTCCCCATGGGTTGTCCTGTGTGTGACTGCCACAGTGGGCGAAGACTCCCTCTGTTCCCAACTTCCCCAGTGTTGGGAGGAGACACTTTTGTACTCAACGGCCATTGTCCCGTCGTCTTGCTCCGTGTAGACCCGGGCCTCCAGCTGGACAGGATACGATCCTTGGCATTCCCAGGTGGCTGTGATTCCTGCTGGCTCATCCCCTTGCACTGCAATGTCGGGCACGAGGGGCACCTGGGCATCGGGGGCAGATGAGCAGCAAGGCCTATCCTCCACCCAGGAAAGTGCATGAGATCCACGCTGCCAGTCCCCAGGTTTACTCTCTGCTTGGGCCTCAACACTGGATGTAAGTTCTGGCTCATCGAAGCTCACCTCCTGAACGGCTTCCTGCTTCTTGAAAGAGTCCCGGCGCTCAGATAAATTCAGCCGCCGCATCACCACCACTTCGTGGTCTCGATCATGACGTTCCTCAGACCAGTCCCGAAGTCGAGAAATACCAGCGTCTCCCAGGGTGACCATGCCGCTCTCCCTGGCACCTCCATTTCCCAAGCTGGGCGTCTCCAGGGTGAGCTTTCGGCTGCCGACCACTTTTTCAGCAAGGGAAGTAGGGATTTTCTCTGTTGACTGGACTCGTTTGAGGAGTGGGGAACGGGAGCTGTCTGCGCTGCGAGGCCGGGACACTTGACGGACCATGGTAGGCGGAGACAAAGTCTTGCCTTGGAAAGTCTGGATGTTTTTTGTAAACAACGGAAGTGGGGAAGGAGATCTTTGAGGGGAAGGAGGTTGGGGGATGGAGGAAGGAGTGCAGGCCAATGGAGAAGGCGGGATGCTGCTGGTTGACTTGCGGCGCCCAACCTTGTAGCGATGACTGTTGACTTTTGGTCCCAAGCCGTGTAGGGAACTTGGTCGGATCTGTCCTGCTGGAGAAGTCGGGGTGCTGGATGATGGAGAGGGACTCTGGGATGAGACAGAATCTGAGAAAAATAGAAGCAATTATATATCTGGTGGTATGAGATACTTATACCACCGCTGGCTTCCTTTAGATTAAAAAGTACAAACATACTAGGTATGTATTTCAAATTGTTAGCCTAGAATTAGTTCAAACTAAGAAGCCTTTAAAAGCCTGATGCATTAATACATGGCTGGAGACACCATTCTCAAATTAATATGGTATCAATCCTCATGCTTAAAGTTTCAATAAATCAAAAACATTTTGATTAAAAAATATCCATAAAATGATTATCATCCTATATGGCTTAGGGCAAGGGTGTTCAAACCTTGGCAAGTTTAAGACTTGTGGACTTCAACTCCCAGAATTCCTGAGCTAACATGACTGGAGGAGGAATTCTGGGAGTTGAAGTCCACAAGTCTTAAAGCTGTCAAGTTTGAAGACCCCTGGCTTAGGGCCTAGATATATTCAAGTCCGCTACTCTGAAATGAATGTACCTTTTCAGTTGGATTATGGAAAGAAACCTCATTAAGAGTTCCATCACTGAGGGAATTTTATCTATAAAACCCCATGACTGGGCCTTCTCAGTGGTGGCACCCCTTATCCTTTTTCTTGATTTGTTCCTGTCACTTGTTTTGTTGTTTTTGCATCTGCATTGTTTTTAATGCATTGTCTTTTCTTAAAGTCACTTTGTAGTAGAGCGGCATGGAATCTTGTTATTATGCATATACTGTTACTTCACAACGGGGTATGTTTTTATGAACTTTTTTTTTTAATAAATCAAGGAACCTGTATGGTTTCTTTTTTTCAAGCTGGGCTTTGCTTGCTAAGACTTCTCCACTTTGATAAAGAAGATAAATCTGTTAATAATAGACATTAAGATTAACCTTTTGGTCAAAGTAAAGAAGAAATCTGAGGAGTCTAACTTTTCTTTTCAGTAATTAATTCACAGTTGCAGCAGGAAACGAAGTCTGAAGCTTTACTCGTTAATGAATCATTTAACCTGCAGTTTGGGAAGAGAGTCCTACAAAGCAACAGGATGTGCTGATAAAATCTGGAGCAACTGGAGTGTAACAGCTGGATAAACATAAATGCTAAAGTTCTTAACAGGAGTTACTTCCGAAAAGCTTCCCATCAGTTACTTAAAGACACGTTTGTTTAGTGGCCATTCAAAGTTACAAAGGCACTAAAAAAGTGACTTATGACTGTTTTTCACACTTACCACTGTTGTGGCATCTCCTTGGTCAAAATTCAGACGCTTGGCAACTGACTCACATTAATGACGGTTGCGGTGTCCTGGGCTCATGTGATCCCCTTTTGTGACCTTCTGACAAGCAAAGTCAGTGGGAAAGCCAGATTCAAGTAACAACTGTGTGACTAACTTAACAACCGTGGCAGGGAAGTTCATAAAACAGGGCAAAATTTACTTAACAAATGCCTCACTTAGCATTAGAAATCGACTCAACAGTAGTGGTAAATCAAGGATTACCTGTGTGGATTTTTTACGTAAAGGATAATGTGTTCAGTTTGAGTGGAAATGAAAATAAACCAGGTGGTCTGCATAATAGAACTTATAATTTTAGGGGAAAAATAATAGCACTTGAGACTTATACACTACTTCATTGTGCTTTACAGCCCTCTCTAAGTGATTTACAAATGTCAGCTTGTTTCCCCCAACAATCTGGGTCCTCATTTTACTGACCTCGGAAGGATGAGTCAACCTTGAGCCAGTGAGAATCGAACTGCTGGTAATCGGCAGAGTTAGCCTGCAATAGTGCATTCTAACCACTGTGCCACCACGGCTCTTACAACTTTTATTCATCACAGCAGACGTGGCTGATGAAGAAGTCTAGGGGGAAAAGGACTTTGTGGGAGATTCACAAGATCCTACCTGGCACAAAATCCGGGACAGGGCTGCGGCAAGAAACAGTAGATCCAGGGGATGAGCTGTGCGTTGGGGATCCAGGAAGGCTCTCGCTGGATGAGAGAGAATGATGGAGCCCGGAGGAAAAGCTGCGGCTGGTATGCAGAACGGAAGTTTGCTTTGAGATCTTCTTGAACAGGGATTTCCGTCTAGGAAGGAGCGGGGGAAGGAAGGGGGGAGAAGGACACTTGCTAAGGGTTCCAACATCTGAAGAAGTAGGCTGAGACTTACCAGAACGACAGTTGATTTGAGGTTTGATTTATCAGCTGTAGCTTGATGTAGACTTCAAATGATTGTCTTGTCCTACTCAGCCAGTTTTAGCATCAACAGATAAAACATCACTGAAGCAAGAACACAAGGGGAGGAAGAATTTCTTGTGGTGAGGGGATGTATTTTTATTCTATTTTACAAGATTGGAGCTCTGGGGGTTACAGAGGTGTGGCTGAATCACTGCAGCTGACTCAATGGATAAAGAGTCTCATGAGATTTTATATACAGTGGTACCTGGGAACTCAACTGTTTTGAAACTCCTTGAATTTGGCACTCAATGTGTTTTGGCGTGAAAATTTTGCCTTGGTGCTCATTGTTTGTTTGGTACTCAATGCACAAGCTAGAACCTGTCACTGTCAGTTGCCTTGTGACTCACTACATTATTTCTTATCAGAAAAAAAACATTGTTTGGTACTCTTTTTTGGTACCTCCTAGAATCAATTAACAACAAGTACCAGGGTACTACTGTATTTATTTTCAGAATATTTAGGAATAATGCTGACAATCTCTGCAAAAATCAGCATTTTGCTGCCAAATTTAAGAAGAAATGTAGGAGGCCTCAGGGGGCTCCCAGAAAAAGTGGGACAAGGATGCTCAGGTAGCTTGTAGCTTGCCAAGAACAAGTGCAGGTAGAAGAAGAGTTGGGTCAACTCAAAAACCATGAAAGACCTTCCTTACTGGATTAAGATGATGACCAGGCTCTGTTCCAACAACAGACAGATGTATAGATGTATAGATGTATAGATAGATAGATGGATGGATGGATGGATAGATAGATAGATAGATAGATAGATAGATAGATAGATAGATAGATAGATAGATAGATAGATAGATGATAGATAGATAGGCAGGCAGGCAGGCAGGCAGAATAGAATAGAATAGAATAGAATAGAATAGAATAGAATAGGGATAGGGATAGGGATTGAATAACAGAGTTGGAAGGGACCTTGGAGGTCTTCTAGTCCAACCCCCTGCTTAGGCAGGAAACCCTATACCATTTCACACAAATGGTTATCCGATCTCTTCTTAAAACTTCCAGTGTTGGAGCATTCACAACTTCTGGAGGCAAGTTGTCCCACTCATCCAAAGCACCGGGCCTCACCCAAATTCCAAGCTCGTCTTAGTTACCTCCCTCAATTCAACACCAATTAACTATTAAGGTCCTTGCTCGATCCCAGCCACCTACTTGTCTTGGCTGTCCCGTTTGCGATTCTTCTTACACCGGCGGGCCATCCGTGTCTTGGAACTATTCTTGCGAGCGGGGCCCTGTCTGATGCTAGTGTTCTCCAGGGCAGTCGTCCTCAGTGACACCTTATTTCCGCTCTGCAAGAGGGACACAATGGAGAGCTGTTGGACTCTCCCAAAAGGCCATCCTTGAAAGGATCAGCCCCCACCACTCACAGAAATGCTATGGATAGAACACATTCACATTACAGGTAATCCTCGAGTTACAACTGTTTGTTTAGCAACTGTCTTAATTACAACGGCACTGAAAAAAAGTGACTTTTACAATGGGTCCTCGCACTTATGACCATTGCAGCATGTCTCCAGACACATGATAAAAATCCAGGCACTTGGCAATCAGCATGTATTTATGATGGCTGCAGTGTCCTGGGGTCTTCTGGTTGCCATTTGCAACTTTCCCAGCCAACGTCCGACAAGCAAAATCGATGGCCAGATTCGCTCAATGACCATAGGATTCACTTAATTGCAGTGATTCCCTTAACAATTGTAGCAAACAATGTGATAAAATCAGGTGCAACTCACTTCATAACGGCTTTGCTTAGCAAATTCTAGTCCCAATTGTAGTTGTAAGTTGAGGACTACCTGTTTTGGACCAAGCAGAATAACGGTGCTTGGAAATTACTTCGGAAACCCATTTTGTTTTGAACTTTTCCTAGATATCTTTTGAAAGCCGTTCCATCAGCTGGCATCTCACAGTTTTTCAACATTTGTACTTCCCATAATAGGATTACAGGCATTATTTGCTATTTTATCATTCTCCTGTTGCATGTATAATAAACCTTCTTTCTTTATCACAATATTGATTTGCGGTCTTCTTTCCAGCTGAAGATACATACCTTCAGCAACAGTTCTACGACATCCATGTGAACCAAACCCAGGACCGACTCCCCGTTTACATGAGTGATGAGATCTCCAGCTCTGAGTCCTGCATCATGAGCTGGGCTCCCGTCTTCTACATTCTACGATAGAAATAAACAGATAGATCATCATCCATGAATTTTTGTGTGTGCAAATCCACTGATGTCTGAAAATATTTGCTTGAACAGGAAGGTGGAGAATTAAATAAGCAAGCAGCTTTCTCTTTCACAGACCTCTCCAGTCACTTCATTTGCTCCCAATCCAAGTAGAAAAGACGAGCTCCCAGTAAAAACCATGTTTCAGAATTCCAGCTTGGAAATAAAGTGAATTTGGGATTCTGACTTGGTGCACAACCCATGCACTGGTTCAGCTACTGCTTTGATGTCTTTGATTGTCCTTGTTGAACTTTTAATTACTCTTTGGTAAATCACTTTGGAAATTTCATGGAGTGGGGAGATTTGAATTTTTTAAAAATGCATGTCTGTTATGGGTGAGATTATTAGCCCAGGATCAAAAGTTCTGCTGTGGTTGTATTTTGCAATTAAAATCAGGTTCATAAGCATATTGAGACCTTAACTTTTACCAGAATCCTGAGTTGTAACATATACTATACTTCTTCAGATCATCAAAGAGAAAGTGAACTAAAAGAGGTTCAGCACAAGTAGAAGTACCCTAAGATGGAATCCACAAGGCCCTGGTGATTTGTAAGTATTTTGTTGCAGTTTTTCTATTGGGATCGAACTGGAATCTTTCCCTTTCAACCTATTCTTCATATCCACTTGGTAGAATGCCTGGCCTTGTTTTTGGAAAGGCTGAACCACATTAGGAGTTAAGTAACTCTGCGTTTCTGTTTTCAGTTATCCTTTCGCTAACAATTACCTGGCTAGGAATTTATGACTAGAAAACCTGCCAAATGTCCTTCAAAAAAACCAAAAACCCACATTCCTGATTCTCCTCCAACATGTTCTTTTTCAGCAAAGGGATTTAGGGACCAAAAGATGCTTTCTGGTGATTATTAGGAGCATTGCAAATCATCCGCAGATCTGCCAAAGTGACAATCTCACTTTGCTTGCTGTTGAATTAAAGGATTTCAGTCCCAAAGGTGGGGAATGACATTTTCTATCTGAAGCTCTAAGATCAGTTACAGTAGAACTCTAAACTGGAAGCTGAATTATCTGGTCGACAAGCCCCCCTTTAATTCTATGGTTCTTAACAAATCATACAAAGCAATGTTCTTTTTAGGTTAATAAAACCTCAACGGCTGGATTCATGCCTTAATGTAAGCCAAACAGCTATTTTCACTCCCCATTCAAGCACAACACTTTATGGCTCAACTTATGATTGTTTTCTCCCACATTATTAACCATTATTTCTGTAACTTTGATTAAACAAATTTTAGGGACCTAATCCACATATAAAGCTAGGCTAGGATGAGGCATTACCAAATTCCTACCCTGAATCTTAGTAACATCCATGCCTACATTATGATTTTAAACAACCCTGAACTAGGTGATCCTAACTAGCTTTCCTATGTCCCCAAATTCTTTTTCCATCATCTTCAATCAATCTGAGAGAAAAGTGTGTGGTCTTGGCTTACCCAAACCATGTGGTGCACAGTGTAAACATCACTGTCGCCCATGTAGACACGGATGGCCCTCAGTGAAAAGCCATATTTCTTCCCCGAGCTGTAGATGACAATGGGAGGCCGCAGACTGGAGCCACCAAGCGTGGAGTCCCGACTTGGAGAAGAGTCGCGGGATGAAGGATTGGAAGAGAGGGAACGGGGTGAGATGGGGCTCCTGAGAACAGCCCCACTAAAGTCGTCTGTTTAAAAAAAAAAAAAAAAGGAAGAGGGAGGCACAACGATAAGGGTGAGATAACTAAATTACAGTATTACCAATCTCCAAAGCAGATAATGGAAAACTTTCTCTTTTTCTCTTTCTCACTGCATTTCTGTATCACCAACATTTCCAAAACATCCAAAAAGAAAAAAGAAAGGAAAAGAAAAAAACCAACCCCCCCCATAACAACTCAAAAATCCGAAAACAATCCTTTACTTACAGTCCTTGACTTATGACCACAATTGAGCCCAAAATTTCCATTGTTAAGCAAGACAGCTGTTAAGACAATTTTGCCCCATTTAGACTTTTCTTGCCACCGTTGTTAAGTGAATCACTGTAGTTATTAAGTTAGTAACAGGGTTGTTAAGTGAACCTGTCTTGCCCATTGACTTTCCTTGTCAGAGGGTCACAGATCTCATGATCCTGGGACATTACAACCATCATAAATAAATGCCAGTTGCCAAGCATCCAAATTTCGATCAGGTGATCATGGGGATGCTGCAGCAGTCATAAATGTGAAAAATGGTCATACGTCACTTATTACAGTGCCATTGTAACTTTGAATGGTCACTGAACTACAATAATAGAATAGAATAGAATAGAATTCTTTATTGGCCAAGAGTGATTGGACACACAAGGAATTTGTCTTGGTGCAAATGCTCTCAGTGTACATAAAAGAAAAGATACATTCATCAAGAGTCAAGAATCATAAGGTACAACATTTAATGATAGTCATAAGGTACAATAAGCAATCAAATCATACTAGGAAACAGTCAATATAAATCGTAAGGATACAAGCGACAAAGTTACAGTCATACAGTCACAAGCGGGAGGGGATTGGGTGATAAGGTGTGATGAGAAGATAAATGATTATGATTCCTCCCCATCCATGCAATCTTTCTAATGGAACTTTTTAAGAATCAGACATTTTTTTTAATAAAAGGAAGCTACACAAAAGGATCTCCAGCCACTCTCTCACCATTCCTTGGTTGCATTTACAAGCTCCCACTAAGGCTCTTAAAAGACTTCTAAGATATCTCGAACTCAGTGCGGCCGCAGTGGTGTGTTTAGCCCTGTTTTATCAGCTTCTGCACTGATAGAACCACTTGTGCTGGGAATAGACCAGGAATTATTTGTCCCACTGACCTGAATTGATGATAAGCGATAATGCAGAAACCGAAGCTGACTTTGGCACTCTGCCACTGGAAGATGCTGGCTGCTTCCCTGCGGAATCCTTGTGGGGCCGATAACTGCCCTCACGGTCCAAACATCTTGAGGTAGAGCTCTTAGTACCTGTGCTGTTGCTCCTGAGACGGACACAGTTCAAGCTGGTCAGGTCAGCTAGAAAGAAAAGAAAGGGACCTTTAGCATCCTGTAGCTTTGGGATAGGATATTTGGATTCAGAAGGTCCCACGACCCTTGCTCTCATTTCCATGTGGGGATGGAGAAGATCTGTCTGAAATGCTGCAGAGCCACTACTGGTCACTGTAAACCAATGTTTCTCAATCTTGGCAACTTTAAGTGGCATGGACTTCAATACCCAGAATTCACTAGCCAGCATGCTTGCTGGAGAATTCTGGGAGTTGAAGTCCATGCCTCCTAAAGCTGCCAAGACTGAGAAACACTGCTGTAGACAATTGCACGTTTGATGAAACAAAGATCTGAGTTTGTATCTGGGTTAACTGAACATGCCAAATCCTAACCCCAAATTCACCCAACACAATTCCTGTGTTCACATCACATACCATTCTCAAACCAAAAAATATGTATGCAATGGCTTGATTCTTTCCACCAATGCCAGTTTAGTATTCGAGAAAGTTGGGTTGCTTGGGATTCAGCATGTTGTGAGAACCAGGCCATCACATCAGGGCATTGTACTAAGCAATCAGAATGGCGGGGTTGCTGTTTATTTATCTAGGTTAAGAATGTTATGTGAGAATGGAAATTAAATTTGGTTAATTCAGGTTGATATTTTAATAGGCTATGGGAACCCTTTTGGTTAGCAGAATCCTGCATTTTCCCACATTTATCCTGGCCCTCTTCTTCCTCTCTTATTTTCATTGATCTCTGGGGCTCAGAAAAGTTCTCTCATTCTTTGCAAAAGGTCACTATTCTTAAATTAAATCAATTAAAAAGCTAAATCGAGTCAACACAAATAGAAAGCTCATGTTCAGAAACAGTTTATCTCCACACATACTAGCTGTGGAAGGTAAAGATTGAAGATAGTTCACGGAACCAGTTTCACCTAGTGCAGAGGTCTCCAAACTTGGCAACTTTAAGACTTGTGGATTTCAACTCCCAGAATTCTCCAGCCAGCATAGCTTTTATAGAAGGAAGGAAGTGCATTGGATGTGTTTGCCACTTGGAGTATTTGTAAAAATAATAAATGCAGGATACAGATATAAACAATCAAATGAATAATACCCCCACAAACACCACAATTATTAGTAAGATATATCAATGCACAGAGATGGACAGATTAACAAAATTATTGAAGGATAAAGAAGAATATTATAAAATATGGGATGTTTGATACAAATGGATAATAATAAGACGCAAAGGCGTCAAATGATCTATGTAATACTATAAAACTAAACAATAAGGTTTTTGTATAAATAAATGTAAATAAATATATATATATATATAAAATGCCTAGAATAATGATGAATCAAATACAGAGATGTATAACATGTTAATAGAAGATATTTACAATGTAAACACTGCTATAGTAACATTGTAAAGTGCAGAAATTTGTTTTTAAATGTTAAAACATTGAATAAATAAATTTATTTTAAAAAAACAATCAAATAAATAAGACAGGCCTGCTTGCAACATTATTGGCAGTCACCAAATGCAGGAGATTGGACTAAACTTGGCAAATGTTGCTGCCATTGTGGGCTTCACCCGGGATGGTATCCAGAGATATCTTGCTCTCACCTGCCAGTGCTGAGCCCTTACTGGGTGTCCTTGGTGGTGCCATCTCAGAATCCCCAACAACAAACTTGGGGCGCTCCTTTTTGGTTTTCCCCCGGCAGGGGCTCTCATCCTCAGAGGACAAGGCAAATCTGGGCATCGCTTCTAGGCTGCAGGTGCTGCTCAGGATGGCAGGATTGCGGCTGAATTCTTGACGGAAGGAATGGACAGTGGAGCCACAGGAGGTCCAGGCACGAAGCCTGCATGAGCGACAAAAAAAAAAATGGAGGACATCTCCAGGGAGAGAACTATGGATGACTTCCTTGCAAAGTAAACATATCCCCTCTATAGAGGACGGTCCACTACTTTCTTTTCCAGTTTGTTTATGTATTAATCAAACTTATATTATCTAACTGTCCCTTTCTATCTGAGATAGTAAGGTAAAGGTAAAGATTCCCCTCACACATACATGCTAATCATTTCTGGCTCTAGGGGACGGTGCTCATCTCCATTACAAAGCCAAAGAGCCAGCGCTGTCCGAAGACATCTCCGTGGTCATGTGGCCTGCATGACTAAATGCCGAAGGCGCACAGAACGCTGTTACCTTCCCACCAAAGTGGTCCCTATTTTTCTACTTGCATTTTGTACGTGCTTTCGAACTGCTAGGTTGGCAGAAGCTGGGACAAGCAATGGGAGCTCACTCCGTTATGTGGCGCTAGGGATGAGATAGTAACTCATTCAAAACAATTCAGCGAGCTTGGGAGACTTGAGTATGTCTCTTCCCAGTCCTGCATTCTAGCTACTACAGCACGCGGCACTCGTGGAAGTCTGCAAACATTGCAAGATGAACCATGAACAGAGTAACAAGGTCGGGACACACTTTCCTCCTTTGCCTCTTCTGGTGCCAAAACCGAGCTTGCCCTTTGGAATTTTAAGGAAATGAAAGAAACTCAGGAAGCTCCCTAAGTTGTGCAAAGTCCTTCCACTACTCCATTTTGAAAAGGCCAGGTGTGATCCTGTCTGCTCACCTGGTCTCAGTCTTAGGTATCCGGCTCTTCTCCTCATCTCCAGAGCTGTGATCTGCCCTCTCGGTTCTGTCTTCTTTGTCCTCACCATGGCCCTGCTCAGAAGACGTGAAACTGAGGGTGGAGGAGTTAGCCAGATATTCACAACTGCTGTAAACCTGGAAGTGGGGAAGAGAGGAAGAAGAAAGCTCAGTTGGATACAGGACATACTTATTCTTGTTCCATAGCCAGCAACTGGAGGCTAAAACATATGAAGAATGGTTGCAGGAATTGGGTATATCTAGTTTAATGGAAAGAACGACTGGGGTGACATGGTAGCCATCTTCTAATATCTCAGGGGCTTCCACAAAGAAGAATGGGTCAACTTATTCTCCAAAGCACCTGAAGGCAGGACAAGAAGCAATAGGGGGAAACTAATCAAGGAGAGATCCAACTTAGAAATAAGGAGAAATTTCATAAGTTAGAACAATTAATCAGTGGAACGACTTGCCTCCCAGAGTAGTGGGTGCTCCAATACTACAGGTTTTTAAGAAGAGATTGGACAATCATTTGTCTCCAATGGTATAAGGCCGTGATGGCGAACCTATAGCATGCGTGCCACAGGTGGCACACAGAGCCATTTGTGCTGGCACACGAGCTGCAGACAAATTTACCTCACTGCGCATGTGCACGCCTCACAGCTGATTTTCGGACGGTTTGAGGCCTTTTTAGGAAAAACAGGGAAAACAGGAAGTGATGAAATGGGGCTAGATTTCGGCCTACAAAGCCTGTAGAAGCCTGCAGAAGCCCTCCTCAAGCCTTTGGGAGGCCGAAAAAGGCCTCAAACCCACCGAAAATCAGCTGTGAGGTGCAGTGCAGATAAGGGGGTGGCGGGAGTGGGGATTGCGTGTGCATGCGTAGGGGACGTGGGGGCACGCGCGCATTGCCTTCTGGGTGCTGGCACGCGAGTGCGAGCGTGCAAGCGCACACACAATTTTTGGCATAGGAGCCCAAAAAGGTTAGCCACCACTGGTATAAGGTTTCCTGCTTGAGCAGGGGGTTGGACTAGAAGACCTCTAAGGTTCCTTCCAACTCTGTTATTCTGTGCTTAAGAATAGTTTTGCAATCACATTCCATTATTTTCTTAATAACTTCCTCCTGTGTTGTTATTTTCTCATTTTTCCAGCTTTTAGCAAATACAATCCTAGCCGCTGTTAATACATTTACAATCAAATATTTCAATTCTTTACTATATATTTCAGGTAAAATTCCCAATAAAAATATCTCTGGTTTCAAGTCTATATGCTATATGTGCTGAAATGAGTAGATTGACATTTGAAATCAGAGAACAAGAAGATAAACAATTTTATAAAATTTGGGATCTATTCTATCAATGGTTAGACAATAAAACATGGTAATGAAATATGTAGATTTTTAGAACATAATGAATATATAAAGATGTATTTTTTAAATTATATCTACAAAATGATTATAGATTTGAGATGATAATATGAACTGTCATAAAACAAATTAAGCAAAATATGGATTATCTTGTAAAACATGAATGAATAATAGTATAGTCAAATGACTGATTAATAACGATATTAATGTATTTAGGAATATTTGATTGACAATATGAGAACATATACAATGTAATTGTAATTGAAGACTACAAAGTGGAAGCACAAAACAATTTGTAAACCAACCGACACACTGTATGCACATATATGGAAGGTGGTTTGATGTTTTTATGTTGTGTTTGTTTGTTTGTCTTAAAAAAAAACAATAAAACTTAAAAAAAAAAAAAGAATAGTTTTGCAATCCATGAGAATATCACCCCAAACCTCCTCCTCCAATAAACCAATAAAACTTAAAAAAAAAAGAATAGTTTTGCAACCCATGAGAATATCACCCCAAACCTCCTCCTCCTCTGTGCAGTTCAAGTGTCCCCCATGTTCACCAGCAATGAAGCCAGAAATTTTTTGGCAAACTTCCCCAAAGAAGCCCCTTCCCAACCTTGCTGAAACGTTGGGAGCAGGAAGAAAACTGGCGAATCTCTCCACAGGATTCCTCATCCTGGATTTTCTCATCATCAGAGCCCAAATGCCGGTAGCGCTCTGAGCGAGCTGGAAGAAAGAGAAGATTGAAGAAAAGGAACTCAGACCTTCACCAAAGCTGCCCTGTTTAGGAGCTGCTATAGGTGTACGGTGGCCTTCTTCTTCATAGTCTCTAGAGGCTTTGGGGCTCTACCCAGAATTCTCCAGCTAGCTAATCAGCCAGCAAACCTCGAGTTATGCTATTTGTAAAATTATGGGAATGTCAATCTAGAGAGTACCAAGACTGCTATAAGCAGTGAAACAGTCCCAAGGGCAGCCCCCATCCCAATCTTTCAGGATACCTTAAGAGCCCCTTCTGGGATTCAGGGTTGCAACTCGGCCATCCCACCAGTACAGCCCTCCCCATCCTTTCTCTCTTCATCTGGGATGCCTTACTGTCAAAGTAACTGGTGTCATCTTCAGCCTCCAGCTGGGGGATAAACTCAGCTTTCTGCCTCAGCAGCCCATTCCAATCCAAATGGTGGAAGAAGGGATGGTACTTCACCTCATGAGCGCCTCCTAGAGATGGGAAAGAAGGAATCCAAGTCACGGAGAGCTGGTCACTGGGGCAGGGGAGCCATAACGTCTCAACTTATGCCACAGCTTTAAGTACAGGTAGTCCTTGACTTAACGACCACAATTGGGACCAGAATTTTTATTGCTAAGGAAAATGGTTGTTCAGTGAGTCGTGCCCAACTTTTTTGTCATGGTTGCTAAGTGAATCACTGCAATGTTAAATCAGGGGTGTCACACTCGATGTCATTGAGGGCCGCATCATGTTTGTGTTTGATCTTTTTGGGGGAGCATGGCCAGAGTGGGTGTGGCCAACATGACGACACTTGTGCTGGACGGCATCTGTGGTGGCCTGAGCGCTCTGCCAGCAAACACGAGCTCCTGAGCTCCTTTTTCGGCTGAGACAGCCTCCTGCAACCCTCTGCCAGCGAAAACGGAGCTTGGGAGGGCCATGCGTGGCCCTTGCGAGCTCAGTTTTTGGCTGGGACAGCCTCCTGCTGGTGGAGGCACTGCAGGCCGGTCCTTCGGTATTTTCAGGGCGGCCCCACGGGCCAGATCTAAGCACCCCACAGGTCGAGTCTGGCCCCTGGGCCTTGAGTTTGACACCCCTGTGCTAAATGAATCATGCTGTTGTTAAGTGAATCCGGTTTCCTTCATTGACTTTGCTTGTTGGAAGCAAAGCTGGAAAGGTTGCAAATAGGGATCACATGATACCCTACATCCATCATAAGAATTTGTTTATAATGCGCCCAAATTTTGATCACGTGACTGTAGGAATGCTGCAATGGTTGTAAGTGTGAGGACTGTTCAGTGCCATTCTAAATTCAAGCGGTTGCTAAACAATTTGCAACATTTGAGTCAATGACTACTGGTCAGGACCACTTGTACCGATGCTGTTGTGATACCTGTGCCCAGGCGCTCCAGAGGGCAGTGACGCAGGAGTTGTGTGATCAAATCTTGGGCATCAGCAGGAAGAGCTTCATCCCCCTCAGGCCAAATGATTTCATCTGAAATTAAGGAAGTAAAGCCAAGGCAGTTTTGGAGGGTGCTCCTTGAAATTTTCCCTACCCCAAAACTTTTCAAAAACTTTGATGGAACAAGTGAGACAGAGCTATTAGAGAAATTCAAGGAGGAAGAAGAAAAGTATCTCAAAAGTTTTGATCGTGTGGCCCGAGTGGAATCTCCCTGCATAGAGGCAGAAAGATCAACGTCACGTTAAGAGAAACTTCTGTTTGGACGATCTTTCCTTCCTTAATTTTTCTCTTCTCAGAATTTAGATTATTTTGGGGTGTGTGAGGGGGAAAGCGGTGCTCTAGATGTAAAGTTGGAAGAACATAAGGATGCTCTTCTTAACTCACAGATACATAAAGTTCCACTCTTAATTTTTAGCCTACCTTAAAATATAGAACATCTCTAGTGAAGCCCATCTTATGAATAATGAAATACAAAGTAAACTTCGCTCTTACTTTTTCCTTGAGATCAATCATGCTAGCCAGAAATTCAGGAGATTCCTGAATAGATCTCCTTAAGGTTCGACTCTGAAAATGTCAGACACAAGATTTTTATATCTAACTCAGGGTTGAAATGAGGGTTGAAGGGTTGAAATTAGTGCTCTGTGAATTGTTGGTTTTTTTTTCTTTTGCAGATGTTTCATTTCCCAAACTAGGTTAACATCATTTAGTGTAACAAGTAGTTTGCTCTCAGTTTATATTCTGGTGGCTTGCCCTGTCAATGTTGATGGGACTGGTCTTGGTAGTTGTTTGGTTGGGCTGTTTATTGTTAGCTTGTTCGGTAGTTCTCTGATTGAAGTATTGTTTATTTCTTGATTGTTGGTTTGGTATTAATCTTGGATTTAATCTATGCTCGCCTGGGTGTTGATTGCTGGTGGGGAGGCATTTTAGTCTTTTTGTTCCCTTTTTGGGCTTGCTGATTGTCTCTTTTGCACAGTATGTAGATATTGTTTACGTCTATGTGTCTGTTGATGGCTAATTTGTCAAAAGAGCCAGGCTTCTAGAAATTCTCTAGCAGCAAGTCCAACAAGGCCTTTCACAAGGCCTTGTGAAAAACTGGTACAGGGGTGCTATTTGCATAGTTGTGTTAAGATCACCAGAGTTCTGACTTCCTGCTTTATTGCACCCTTGGCATGTTTGGGGAAATACTGTTGGTAAGAGAAAGGCAACTCCTTCATCCCTCTTCTCAAGTCCCACCTTCACCTTCATCAAGGCAAATGGCAGAAAAGCTCGCCGTTATCAGCCTCACCCCTCTTCCCTCATCACTACTTTGATTGATGGGAATTTTCCAAACGGTGGTGATGCCCAGGATATTCACATATTCTGAAGGTGCCTAACCAAGACATTGCTATTCAGCAGTGTGTCAGAAGAGAGCAAGAAGGAGGGGGAAGAGTCATCAAAGCGGCAAATTTTACACCGGGATAAAATATTCTTTCCGTTCAAGGACAAGCAGAGAGCAGCACTTCAACTCAGCCCTTAAGAAAGGGCCCTGTGAAGTGGGAAGGCAACCCTGCCCCCGCCCTCCCCCTTCTGTCATCTCCAGGGACACATCACATGCTGAGCGAAGGTCACTGTTGTCTTCTCCCGTTCACTGAGTTTATCTAGCGGATTTCTCAAAGGTTCTTTTGTTCTGCCAGGCATCTGGGACTGGCACTGGCTTGACTTCTGTAATAAATGGGGCCCTTACTGCTTCGTCATTGAATTTCTCCAGCCTCGTAATTCATCTCCCTTCATTAAGGAAAAGCAAACTTACCACTTATCACTTGCCCAAAGAGTTCCTCTGGAGTGTCACCGAAGAATGGGACGCAGCCAACCAGGAACTCATAGAGTATTATGCCCATGGCCCACCAGTCCACTGGCTTGCCGTAGCCTTGGATCAGGATCACTTCCGGAGCAATATACTCAGGAGTACCACAGACCTGCAAAGGGACAGAAAACAGCATTCCACCTGTTTCTGTGAACAAGGAGGTTTCTTCTTAGGGATGGGATGGGATCCCTGTCTCCCCCTCAAACCCAGAAAGGGCAGAATCAAGAGAGTGAGGACTCCTTCAGATGGGTTCGTGGCTTCTGGTGTTTGGAGGCCTTTTCCTTTGAATCCAGTAAAACAACCTAGTAGGCCTCATTAAAAGACATGCATGTTCCTTGCCATAAACATCATACCTGTTTATCTACAAACTCTCGGGTGTCTTTCTCAATGTGGCCCTCATAGAGATTGGTAGTCATGTTCATCAAGCCAATCTTGGACAGGCCAAAGTCGGTCAGCTTGATGTGGCCCATGGATGTGATGAGCAAGCTGGAAGAAAGAAAGAAAAAGAAAGAGAGAGAGAGAAAGGGAGAGGGAGGGGGAGGGAGAGGGAGAGAGGGAGGGAGAGAGAGAGAGAGAGAGAAAGAAAGAAACAAAAGAAAGAGAGGGTGAGGGAGGGATGGAAAAAAGGAAAAAGGGAAAAAGGAAGGAAGGAAGGGAGTTTGAATGATGAAAGGAATCAACCAAATAGTTCAAAACCTGTAATTTTTTTTTTTTGTAAATTTTATTTGAGTTTTCACAAAGAGAAAAAAAATACAAATAAAACAATTTTTTGAAAGTAGCGTTGAAAGTAGCGTAAACCCGCCTCCCTGCATTTCACAATCTAACTTGTACCCCACTCTCACTTGTCTGGTTTGAGATCCCGGTGAACAATGCCGTAATTGTGGAGGTACTCAAGGGCCAGGACTGTCTCAGCAAAATACATCCGGGCCATGTCCACAGGCAAAGGTCCCATGTTCTTCAGCAGTGTGGCACAGTCCCCACCTAAAGGATATAGAATGTCAGAGAGTCCACTACATGTAAACCAGGGTTGACATCTAAACCAGGGTTGTCCAACCTTGGCAAATTTTAAGACCTGTGGACTTCAATTCCCAGAATTCTGAAAGTTGAAGTCCACAAATCATAAGGTTGCTCAGGTTAAACTTCCCTGATCTAAATCTTTTTTTCAACTTATCGGGCTAACTAACTGTCTTTTAGGCATCAAGTAAGCAGATTTTATTTAATTTTGTCTTTTATATTGTTTTTTTAATCTCTTCCCCAAAATGCTTGTTTTAATGGCAGTACTTTTATTGTCTAAGATGGCGATCCTTAATGTTCTTAAAAAGATTCCAGTGCTTTGTAATTTTTTTAAAATGGAAAACATTTTACATATGCTTTTTAAAAGTATCCTGCAGAAATCAAAGGGAAAATCTTTCTCCCTCCTCCCCCTTCACACACTTAGAAAAGCCAAAAGCACATCTCATCGTGCCAAATAAATATATTTGGCAATACCTCGTTCTTTTATTTAGTTTTCCAAAATGAGGTTTTTAAAGTCTCTGACTGAGATTTCTTTGGCAGAGACCGCTAGGAAAACTTTTTAAGATCAAGAAACAGATTTTAGGCAAACTGAGGAGGGTTTGGGGAAGGGGGACGAAAATGTCAACCACTTCAACACTGCACTTCCAATGCAAAGTCCAAAACATCAATGATGCTTTTGAGACTCTGGCAGGCTTCGTACAACATATTTTGCAGACTTCCTTTGGCAGCTGTTTGCCAGGGATATAAATGTTGCTTTTCAAAGTTTGCCAATCTCTGGATTCCAAAACTCTGTAGCCTTTTAGGAATTCAACACATACAATATAAAACCGCAGAACTGTGGAATGCTCCATGCTCTTCTAGAAATGGATATTAAATTCAAGTCAAAACCAGATTTTGCCAAGATGAAGTTCTTTCTCTTTGGAGCAAAGGATACTAGAAACTGCCCGATACCGACTCAAACCACTGATATATCTACCCCATGACCACCTCCGCTAACTAACATCAACAATCATGGAAAAAAGCCTCTTCCAAGTTTTGCCACCCGTGATCCCTTGACTAGAGATCTTGCCTTAAAACAGACCCAGGATTTCTTCCAAGCAGAGCAGCTGCTCTTTCCTGAAGATCTTTGTTGCCAGGTTTTTCTATCTCCACCCACGCCACCCATCAAGATATGTCCTTCTGCAACCCTCACCTTCCACATACTCCATGACCATGCAGAGGTGACACCTGGTTTCGAAGGAGCAGAACATGCTGACCACAAAAGGGTTCTCCGCAAAGGTCAGGATGTCGCGTTCCACAAAGACTTGCTGGATCTGGTTCCGCAACACCAGGTTCTGCTTGTTAATCTTCTTGATGGCAAACCGTTGGCGAGTCTCCTTGTGCCGCACCAGATACACAGCCCTAAAGGAACATGGAGAACTACTGGGCAACTTGGGAAGACGGGAACATTGTGACGTTTTCTACCCCATTGTTTGGTCCTCTTGGCAACGCGTTGATGTAGATGAGGCCGATAGATAGTGACTGTCTCAGTTCACCATGGCCATAATGAGGATTAATTCGGGTACAGGTAATCCTCGACTTACAACGATTCATTTAGCAATTGCTTGAAGTTACAACAGTATTGAAAAAAGATGACTTAGGAAAGGTCCTCACACTTAATCGCAATAGTACTTAGACTTACACAGGCAGCCCTCGACTTACAATCACAATTGAGCCCAAAATTGCAGTTCTTGAGACATTTGTTAAGTGAGTTTTGCCCCACTTTATGACCGTTCTTGCCACAGTCATTAAGTAAATCACTGCAGTTGATAAGTTACTAACCCAAGTGAATCTGTCTACCCCATGGACTTTGCTTGTCAGAAGGTTGCAAAAAGTAATCACATGACCCTGGGACCGTTCAATGGTCATAAATATGAACCTGTTGCCAAGCATCTGAATTTTAATCACATGATTGTGGGATGCGGCAAAGGTTGGTGCTTTGAAAAAAATGGTCATAAGTCAATTTTTTCAGAGCCATTGTAACTTTGAACAGTTGGACTGTTGTAAATCAAAGACTACCTGTATACGCTTCACAGTGCTTTACAACCCTCTAAACAGTTTACAGAGTCAGCATCTTGCCCTCAACAATCTGGGTCCTCAGTTTAACATCCTCGGATGGATGCAAGGATGAGTCCACCTTGAGCTGGTGAGAATCGAACTGCTGGCAGTCAGCAGAATTTAACAAACCTCCACCTAGCTGACCAACCGGCAAACCTGTAGTTATGCTATTTAGTATGGGAACATCAATCTCTAGATTGATCTCTTGCACCAAGTTGTAGAAGATTGCTGTAAGCAGTGAAACAGTCCCAAGGATCAAACTGCTGGCAGTCGGCAGTCAACAGACTTAGTCTGCAATATTGCATTCTAACCATTGCGCAGCCACAGCTCAACAATTTAACAACCATTATAGCATCCTCACAGTTACATTATTAAAATTTGTACCAGTTGTAGCATCCCGGGGTAATGTGATAGCCATTTGTGACCTTCCCAGCTGTCTTCTGACAAGCAAAGTGAATGGGGAAGATGGATTCATTGAACGGCCATATGAGTCGCTTAACAACCGCAGTGACTTGCTGAGCCTACTCACCCGTAAGCCCCATTGCTGATCAACTTGATAGTTTCAAAATCGCTTTCGCAGGGCTTCCTCCGTGGAATGGGGGTAGAAGACTGGTTCTACAAGAGACAGGGAAAGTGAAGGGGAACACATATTAATTGCAGTCTATATAAAGAATGATATCTATTGACCTATTAACAAGATTTGTGGCTTGCATTTCTGAAATAATAAGGGACGTGGCGGCTCAGTGGCTAAGACGCTGAGCTTGTAGAACAGAAAGGTCGACAGTTTGGTGGACTGAATTCCTAGCACCGCGTAACGGAGTGAGCTCCCGTTACTTGTCCCAGCTTCTGCCAACCTAGCAGTTCGAAAGCATGTAAAAATGCAAGTAGAAAATAAGGACCACTTTGGTGGGAAGGTAACAGTGTTCCATGCGCCTTTGGCATTTAGTCATGCCAGCCACATGACCATGGAGACGTCTTTGGACAGCGCTGGCTCTTCAGCTTTGTAACAGAGATGAGCAACACCCCCTAGAGCCGGAAACAACTAGCATGTATGTGTGAGGGGAACCTTTTTATCTTTCTGAAATAAGTAGCGTACAAGAATATAAGGGGGTGGAAACCCTCATTTATCCCAATATGATGGAAGAACAAAAGAGTTAATATCAAAGAGCTCAAAATCCTATATCCTAGGGGGGATTAGAACCATTCTGGGGACCAAACCCAGCTCCCCATCAGCCCAAGTCAGAAGTATGAGAAGGGCAGACAGAGATGAGGAGGGCAGAGTTAAATGTATCATTAGTTTAGAGGCCTTGCGTTCCCACAAGGACTCCAAATCCAGCTGTTCTGAATACCATTGACCCTTATCTGGTACCAATTCAGCACTGAATCTTAGTTGACTGGATTCTTGGTTATAGGCCTGAATAAATTTTCTATGCTGCAATTTTTGTGCCTGAAAGAAGCAGTATGATCTCAAAGAAGACCTTATTATTAATATTTCAATTAATGATTACTGAACTATTTTAAATGATGATGGCAAACTGAACTGGATACAGATAATCCTCAACTGACAACAGTTCATTTAGTGACTGTTCAAAGTTACAACAGCACTGAAAAAAGTGACTTATGGCCATTTTTCATATTTACGACCTTTGTAACCTCATGTGATCAAAATTCAGAAGCTTGGCAGCTGGTTCAAACTCATGATCATTGCTGTGTCCCAAGGCATGTGATCACCTTTTGCAACCATTTGACAAGCAAAATCGATGGGGAAGCCAGATTCACTTAACAGTTGTGTTACTAACCTATCAGCTGCATCAATTCACTTAATGACTGTGGCAACAAAGGCCATAAAATGAGGCAAAACTCACTTAACAAAAATTTTGGGCTCAATTGTGGTCATGTTGAGGAATAGAGAGAAGAAAAGAGAACCTCGGTGGCGCAGTGGTTAGAGTGCAGTATTGCAAGCTACTCCTACTGCAATTTGGCAGATTGAATCCCACCAGGCTCAAGGTTGACTCAGCCTTCCATCCTTCCAAGGTTGGTAAAATGAGGACCCAGATTGTTGGGGGAAATAGGCTGACTCTGTAAGCCACTTTGAGAGGGCTGTAAAAGCATGATAAAGCGGTATATAAATCTAAGTGCTATTGGTAATGCTAATACCTGTATTGATAAACAGGCCTTCAAGGATACCTGAATGGTAAGTAGATTTATTGTAGGAAAGCTGAAGAAGTGCCATGAAAGTATTCCAGTGACTAATACACATCAAATACCAATCCTTTTTATACTGAAATCAAAGTTCAAACTCCTGTGCTCTTTTTCCCCACCCACATAATATAATGGAGTAGAAGCCACTCTGGAAGACAATTTGTGTTGAACTTTTCTTATGAATGTTTCATTACCCAACCAGGTAATTATACAACGAGGTAGAGTGGCTAACTAGCAAACCCACTTTGTTGGGTAAATTGCTTCTGTGTCTCATTTTGTTAGCAGATGGCTCCAGTATCATGATGTTTGCTTATGACAATGTGAGTCCTTAATGTTAAGGATTTTTTAAATGAGAAAAGAAAAATAGTAAATTAACAGTAAATGAAATAAAATATCAATCTTGATTACATCTGGCCCTTTAGGAATTTCAGTCTAGAGCAGGGGTGTCAAACTCAAGGCCTGTGGGCCGGATCAGCCCGCAGGGTGCTTAGATGTGGTCCACGGGACTGACCTGAAAACAGCAAAGGACTCTGCCAGCGAAAATGGAGCTTGAGAGGGCCTCCTGAGCTCCCTTTTCACTGGCAGAGGGTTGCAGGAGGCCATCACAGCCGAAAATGGAGCTTGGGAGCCCATTTTTGCTTGCAGAGCACTCAGGCCACAACAGGCGCCCCGACACGAGTGACGTCGAGCTGGCCACGCCCATCCCATTCCCCTGAGGTCAAACATAACCCTGATGCAGCCCTCAATGAAATCGAGTTTGACACCCCTGGTCTAGAGTAATGTTTTCCTCAACCTTGGGAACTTTTTAACTCCCAGGATTCCCCACTGAGGTGGCTGGAGTATTCTGGGAACTGATGTCTACACATCTTAAAGCTGCCCAGATGGAGCAACATACAGTTTTAGAGAAATGCCTCACAACAGACTAGAAAGGGAAGGCGAACATAGTTTTTTTTTACCTCAGGAGGTTCATCTTGCTGCTCTGGGCCTGCTGGAGAAGGGCAGTCAACTTGATCAAACTGCACGATTTCTGGGGAAGAAAGAGAAGCACAACTGAAAGCAATGACGAATAGGACATTGACCTGTTTCCCATCTGCCTTCCCTGCTTTTTGATGGCCACAACAATCTTGCCTTTTCTGATTGGCAGAATTCTTTCCACTATCTATGATTTAAACCAATTGTGAGGTCCTTGGCATGGGCTCCGAGCTTGGCTATTTTCTTGCAGACATTTCATTATCAAACTAAGCAACATCATCAGTGCTAGAAGGGAGTGGAGTTTTGGTCTCGGTTTATATACAAGTGGCTTGCCCTATCAGTGTTGGTGGGAATGGTCTTAGTGGTTCTTTGATTAGGATGTTGTTTACATTGATTGTTTGTTTGTCTGAGTTGATAGTTCCTTGAATGGGGCATTGTTTACTGCTTGAATGTTGGTCTAGTATTTAGATCAAATTAAATTAGAGATGCTGCCTGCAGCAAAGACCAAGTGATGCATACAAAGCAGATGTCACTGGACTATTTATTTCATCCAATTTTTATATACTGCTGTGCTCCAAAAACTAATTCCAAGTGATTTACATATAAACGCTGTATTGCCAGGTTCAAACTAGAAAACTTCTTTTTTTCCTCACCTTCCAGAGGGTCTTTGGCGAGTCCCAGTTGACTGATAATGTAACGTGGAATGTCTGTTTTGATGCCTTGTCCCACTTTCGCATGACCTTCGGCTGCCTCCAGGAGGTGATAAAATTCTTCCGGGTCAAACTCCTGGAAACCGGAGAAGGAAGAAGGAGCGGAGAAAATAGAAAACAATGAGCCTTTTCATAATAAGGTTTAGTATTAAAAATGAATGAAATTCAACAAAAGTCTTCTTCCTCCACCACAAACCAAAGGCTATGGAAATGAGCAGGTCTAAAATAAACCACAAGAGCTCTCTTTCTCGGCCTGGACCTCTCACATTTAGAGACTGTTACTGTTAACAATCCAGGATGGTCCCCTTTCATGAAAGCCAATAAACGATGAAATCTAATCTGTAATAATGTCATGCACTCTGAGAAGACCAAATATTTTTTTTCCTCTTGCACTCAATTCTGAGACGCAGAGCCTCAGCAGGAACAACGCCATGGTACAGGAAGCAACAGCTTCCTTGGCTCAGAAATCAGAAGACAAAAGCTTATCTATAAATACCAAAGATTACAGTTTCCCTGTCTCTGCTGCATAAACCCTGCCTAGAACCATCACTCATCTCAACTCTGAGCCATCTGGAAAACTCAAGCTATCGTCTCCTGGTGCCATCACGAGAAACGGAGGCATTTTGAATTCCAAGAAAGTTTCCATTCCCATACTTCAGCCTGTTTGTAATTATGTGCTGGCCCCAATGAATTCTCACCATCTTGCACACATTGTCTTGCAAACATTGCCAGCAGCAACAAGCATCCAGAAGTAGACATGAGGGCTTCGTTAGCTATTAATTGTTAATAGCCAGTGATAGCCTCTCCAATTCCATGTATATGTTTCATCCTTTTTACTAAAAGAAGTTAAAACACAAGTGTAGGCTGCAGCAAACTAAGATAATGCATCTACTGTACATTTAGCACTATTTTTTAAGGATAGTTAGCCAGAGTATTTTAAATTCAGTAAGGCTAATTAAGGAATGCTCAAAATTTAAATTTTAGAAAAATAGCTGGAACCATGCATGTTTAATTTTAGCTCAGTTTCAAAAAGCTCCAGGAACTGTTTTAGGGACTTGCAGAGTGCATTCTCAAATTGCGGAATAGATCTATCAAATCGCCACGAAGTCTACATGGACCTTCCAGCTTCATAGTAAGAAATCACGGTTGAAGTAAGAGAAGAAAAGCAAGGTTGTTACCTTTTTGACTTGCTTGGAACGTTCCAGGGTAGGGGTTCTGCAAACTTTGCAACTTTTAAGTCTTGTGGACTTCAACTCCCAGAATTCCCCAGCAAGCATGGCTGGCTGAGGAATTCGGGGAGTTGAAATCCACAAGTCTTAGAAGTTACCAAGTTTGGAGACCCTTATTCTAGGGGGATCTGGCTGGCCATTGTCAAATGATCAATTACATCATAGATTTTCAATCTGACCCACAAGGACCACGAGGAAGGTTCAGTTTACATTCACCCTCAGCCTTTGGTTTACAGCTCAAGCAACTCAGGCAGCCATCTCTACTGTTCCACACAGAGCTTTGAGGTCTACATGAGAGCTTCAGAAGAAAAATGATCTCTCAAGGCTTGTGCTTGCTCTAGACTAGAGCAGGTAACGGATAATCAGAGTTGGAAGGGACCTTATAGGTCATCTAGTCCAACCCCCCACCCAAGCGGGAGACCCTACACCATTTCTGACAAATGGCAGCCCAATCTCTTCTTGAAGAGTACGGGTGTCAAACTGGTGGCCCGCAGGCCAGATGAGTCACACACAGACCCACCCCAGCTCCGCGAAGGGGAAAAAAAGTCGCGATACGTAACGGCAACGTGACGCCATGAGTTTGATACCCGTGCTCTCGAGGATGATGGCGATCCTGTAACCCTTTGTCCCTTCCCACCCAGCTTAGGCCGAGTATAGCAGATAAGTCAGCTTCATGCTTACCAAGCACTCCAGCAGCCGAGCTGGCCGGGAAATGATGATCAGTAGTTTACGGACCAGCTGTTCGATGAAGTGCAGTTCCTCACTCTCAGAGCGCTCCTGAGCCTGGCAGAGAGCGTGATGAAGAAGAACTCATAAGCATGACTGAGAAAGAAACTCCCTAGAGAAGTCTGGATCGGTGGGGAAACAAGAGAAACTCACATCTCTTAGCATTTTCTCCAGCTTCTCCTGCAGTTCAATGAAATAGCGGGAGGTAATGAGGGCCCCTTGGGACTTGTTGAGACAGTCACGGGCCAGTTCAATGATCTGGTGGTGGATGAATCCCAGTACACCATCAGCCAAAGGCAGGATGCTGCTGGGCGAGAAAGCAGCAATGGTCTCTGCCAGGCGCTCTTCCATCTGGGCAGTGGCCTTTGAAGAGAGGGGGAAAGAGGGAGAAAAAGGAGAAGGTGACTGTGCGATCCAGAAGCTTCAGTTGGGATCCACATACAATTTTCAGTGTTAAGTTGACCCCGCCTCAGAAGAACTAAAAAGCTCAGGATCAAATCTCTGTTCCATCCTTTGTTTCTCTTGCATCCTTCCAACATTCGCGCAAGCTACTTGTAAAAATAAACGTGAACCGGGAATGAAGGGCCAAACAGTTCCTCCTGAAATGTGTTGCCCGAGGCACCAAAACAGTGAAATATCTTTCCCTTGGATGGTTTTCATTCATCTTTCTCTCATTAAAACATGCTTTAGTTCAACAAGGTTATGGCTCTTAAATTTCTACAAAACTCCAACAACTGGAAAAGAGAGGAAAGCCACAGTAGCACAATGCTCTGACTGTGGTACCCAATGCTTTTAAAAATACAATTAAATATAATTTATTTCCTTTCAGTGCCATGGGAGGTGGAGCCACAATGCGGGATCTAGATTTTAGCAAGGCCTACAGATTATTCTAAGCTAAACCGATGGGCCTATGGTTCATTAATTCCAAGAGATAAAAGTTATTAACAGAGCCTTACCTTTGGGAATCTCTCCTTGTATACATGATTCATCATTACCACCTCATTGTCAAAGGTCCCACTGGTCCGCCCAGGGCTGCGAAAAGAAGAGGCAACTGCTGAGGACATATCCTATGCATTCAAGCAAGGCAGGCATCAGGAAGTAGAAGAGAGCTTTAGTGATGCTCAAGATCCCCCCAATGTCTTGCTTTAGCCAGGGTTCCCATTTTTTGAATGGGTCAGGGCTGCAGATTGATAATAATCTAAGTCAGAGAACCTTTATGTGGTGACTAGCTTAAACCACTGAAATCAGAAGGAGAGAAAAGAGCATTGTCTGATTTTGCTTCCTCCTTCCCTAAAATGCACCCCAATGGCTCAGCGTTGGACTCTGGCCAAGCCATGACTAAAAAGGAATCCAAGGATGATTCTTTCAAATGGATGTGATTTATGGGTTGTTCAAACAGCAGAGTTGCTCTTAATTAAATTAATCAGTTGTGGATTGTAAGAAGCACAAGGGAGCTACTAGAATATTTGTTCTGCATGACAAACATCCCTGGTTCAATCTCTGGTAAAACAAAGGCAGGCACGGCGAGAACCAGTGGTGGTCAGGGCAAAGATGCCCATCATATAAAAGTAGCACTCAGCTTCAAGGCTACTGAACACTATGACATTATGTAAGAATCCCAGCAGTTACTGGGTATCAAATGCAAGCTGTAGCGATACTGAAATCCAGATTCAAATGCTTGTGCCTCCTCTCTTTGGACAATAGTTTTCACTTATGTGTTATTTTGATGAGCTACAGTGACACAGTGGTTAGAGTCCAGTACTGCAGGCTACTTCTGCTGCCTGCTGGCTGCCTGCAATTTGGCAGTTGGAATCTCACCAGGCTCAAGGTCAGCCTTCTATTCTTCCGAGGTCGGTAAAATGAGGACCCAGATTGTTGGGGGCAATACGCTGACTCTGTAAACCACTTAGAGAGGGCTGTAAAGCACTGTGAACCAGTATATAACTGCTGTTGCTATTGAGAGGAAGACAGCCTCCAGTTTAAACACTGGAGACTGAGCCTTCTCCATCTTTGCACGAGCAGGGGGCCACTCACTCTAGGTAAGGCTTTACTGTATCCTTATTTAAGGGATTCTAATCTAGTGCAGCCCCATCTGACAGTTTTCAGCCAAGTCAAGCAGAGGAGTCAAGTTATGTCATGAATTACATGCATTACAATAAATCGGTGATTTACTGCTCAATCTAGGTAAGGAAATGTAACAGACAGTGTCTCAAAGTTAAAAACCTCTTGAGAAGCAAGTGATGAACACTAGAGCAGGGAAGAAAAAACTGCACTTCAAGGTAGGTTCACCTTTTTAAAAAAAAATAGGGTTAGAAAGTTCAGGTGCAAAATGGATGCCTTGTAAGAGGTAAAATGAGTGAACCTTTAAGACGCTTGTTAAGGATGGTTATGTTATTCCTGCATAAATTCCTTCCTGTGCAATCCACTTAACACAGGTAGTCCTTGACTTACATCCGCAACGGAGCCCAGAACTTCCATTGTAAGTTATGATGGTCATAAGCTGAGGCATCCACGGCCCAATTTGATTACCTTTTTTTTTTTTGCTGCAGTTGTAAAAATCAACACAGTGGCCGGAAAGCAAAAGCGGCAGCTGTTAAGCAAACGCTTAATGTTCGTGAAGAGAGACAATGCATACCTATTCGCATTTTTGGCTCTAAAAACCGCCATGAATCATGTCACATGACTATGGGATGCAGCAGCTAAGCAGAAAAGGTGCACTAGTTGGCAAATGCAGACAGGTGGCCCTGGGAAGGGGTGTGTATGTGCTGCCACTGGAACTCTGGGATCAAGTCCTAAGTACCTTTTGTACTTGTCCACTGTAAGTTGCTAAGTGACCAGACATTAAGTAAGGACCACCTGTAGAACCTTCTCCTAATTTCATTAGAGGTGTCATTCTGAACCATCTAAAGAAGAGACACCCGTCCAAAGCCAAGAATACCTCAAGCTGCGGGACCGAGGACGAAAATATGGCGAGTGGCGTCCATCTTCTCCTGGGACACTTTCGGTGCTGCGGAAGTGCTTTGAAAGGAAGTGCAGTTCATCAGGAGTAGGTTGGTAGGGCAGTTGGTGGAGACGCTCCTGAGAGGAGGAAGACGATGACTGGACAAGGAGAAAAAAGATGATAGACCAACATGAGAACGAAGGTGAGTAACTCTTGTTCTGACACACCATCATGGAATATTTTAATATCTGCAGAGGAACCAGTTGCCTCAGAATAAACAGGCAGCTGGAAAAACTGAGGGAGGGGGAAATGTGGTATTTAAGAAATAAAGTGAAAAAAGCCACTTCCTTTCATAGGAAGATAAGCTCTTCCTATGTTAACTCTGGCAACTGCAAAGTTTACATACGTTTAAACCTTGGTTTCTGCGGGGCCTCTTTATCTCGACCACCAGCACTTCTGCAAGCAACTTCTAGGCCTCTCTCAATATCCCCTTAGCCTGGCAGTGGTTTTTTTGTTTGTTTAAAAAGGCACTGAGATGTTAAATTCCAAGACTGAGTTCATATTAAAATTTTCCAACAGTGACCAAGACGCAGAACCAAGTTTTCTTTGGAATTACATGTTTAGCCATACTTTGATGCTGATAAGTTGATACGTTTCTAGCAAATACTTGAGACAGCTAGTGAAACCAGAAATAAGAACAGTTCAACAGCACCAACTTAAAAAGTTCTAGCACACTAGGTTAATTACCACCTTCAGAAAGTAAGTAAGAAATGAATATTTCCAGGAAAACAAGATTACAGATCAACAGACTTGGAAGGGACCTTGTAGGTCATCTAGTCCACCACCTCCACCAAAGCAGACCTTACACCATTTTTGATAGATGGCAGTCCAGTCTCTTCTTGAAAGCCTCCAAGTGATGAAGCTCCCACAATTTCTGAAGGCAACTTCTGTTCCATGGGTTGATTGTTCTCATTGTCAGAAAATTTCTCCTTATTTCTAGGTTGAATCTCTCCTTGTTCAGTTTCCATCCATTATTCCTTGTCTGGCCTTCAGATACCTTGGAAAATAGCTTGATTCCCTCCTCTCTGTGGCAGCCCCTCAAATATTGGAAGACTGCTATCATGTCTCCCCTGGTCCTTCTCTTCACTAGACTAGCCATGCCCAGTTCCTGTAACCGTTCTTCATGTTTTAGTTTCCAGTCCCCTAATCATCCTGGTTGCTCTTCTCTGTACTCTTTCTAGAGTCTCAACATCTTTTTTATAGTGTGGTGACCAAAACTAGATGCAGTATTCTAGGTGTGATCTTACTAAGGCTTTATGGAGTGGTATTAGTACCTCACTTGATGGAAAATAGGTTATTGCTAGGTGCCATTCACCCCAACTCCAAAGAAGGGTCTGACTTAATGGACTATGTAGCACACCCTTTTTTAATCTCATGCTTTCTATATGAACTACAATGATAATTCTTAAGATTTCCTAGGCTAGAAAATATGAATCTGTCTCACTTTAGCACAGAATCTGTCCGTAATAAGATGCCAGATTTATTCCACGCTACTTACTGAAACAGTAGAGCTGGGGGTGTTGGTCCCATAGCCGGATGAGGGCAATGACGCGAGTGACCACCGTCGGCCATCAGCTCTGCAGAAACAGAGGTAGAAATTATGACATCAAGTCTTGGAGAACAAAGGATTGCTATTTAAATCCAATAAGTGCGCTGTCTAGCTGATGAAAACAATTGGGAAGGACTAACCTGACTGCTCAAATATAATCTACAACAGAGGTTCCCCAATACCTGGGCTATAGACCGGTATCAGTCCGTGTCTTGTTAGGAACTGGGCTGCACAGCTGGAGGTGAGGGGTGGGCGAGCAATAGGTATTTGTAGCCGCTCTCCAGTGCTAGCAACGCCGCCTCAGCTCTACCTCAGATCATCACGCATTAGATTTTCACAAGAGTACCTACTGTAAAACTGCACATTTGAGGGACCTAGGTTACATCCCCCCCCCCCCCGTCTGTTGAAAAATTATCTTCCACAAAACTGGTTCCTGGTGCCAAAAAAAGTTGGGGACCACTGATCTGGGGGAAAGAAGGGACTTTTTCCCTATATACATCAAGGTCCCTCTATATCCCCATATCTTCTCTCTTTCAAACCCAGTCAAAATACATCGTATATTCGAGATCAAGCAGAGATTTTTCTGGATGACTTTCCCCAAACCCTTTAGGTGAATGTGGTGTTCCTAACTACAAGCTCGCCTCTTCTCCCCAAACTGCCAAAGTCACAATGCTGGAGTAAGAGGAACCATCTTCAAGTAACACACACATCCTTGCCTTCCAGTTCCCTGTTTTGCCTTCTTGGTAGCTTCTTTAAAAGATTTATCAAAACAAGGCAATCCAGCATATTTCAGGCTGTGTGGCCCTACACATCAGGCAGATGTCCTAAGGGAACTACAGATGGTTGCCAGGGCTAGAGAATTGTCAGGATTTTCTCCTTCAACTAATCCTAAAGATTGGACTTCTTCTCAGGGTTTCAATCAGTAATGTCCAGTTCTGAAGGATGAATTGTTTTTTTGATAACTGAAAAATGTCTATTCTCAACAGAACTCCCAACAGTAGCAACATATTGCAATCAAGAAAATCAAAATGAAAGCTTTATTTTGTTCAGAGATTAGGGAAACCAATGAAGTTTTCTTTTCTTTTCTTTTTATTTACTTCCGACCCAGCAGCCAAAGCTCTTTAATCTGCAATCTCCAAACCTGAAAAGTTGTTGTTCTTTTAACTTGGGGCAATGGATTTAAATGGATGGTATATTTAAATATACCATCTGTTCTCCTCCCCCCAAAAATCAAGGCGATTAATGGAGAGTCAGACTGTCTTGTTTTGGGTGATGGTTTTCTTATGGGTCATGACTCAGTGTGAAATTTTTGCCCACAAAAAAAGTAGCGGTCATCTTTTATTTTTCATTACCAGCTCTGTTTACAGGGCCACTCTAACAAAGTACTTAGCACAGTCCCTAACAAAACAGAATGGTTCAGAATAGATTTAACAGAATAGATTTAAGAATCAATCCTACATGATTTCTTCCCGTTGCTAAAGTTACCTGTCAGTTCGAGGAACATGGCTTTTTCCAAGGCATCATTGAGCAAACAGGAGAAGTAGAAAAGCAAAAGGAAACAGGGAAAGAAAAGGGTGGGGAAGGATATACAATTAGGAATCACAGGAAAATGCCTTCCCTGGGTCTGAGGGCATTTTTCTAACACCCCCACCCCCCCAAAAAAAACCCTGAAATTAGAAAAAGTTATACAGTGTATACTTTAATTTGATTTTTAATGTAAAAATTGATTGGCAAGCAAAAGAATGAAAGGCCTAACAGCTTGCTGTCATTGCTCTTGGGGAAAAATAATTTAATTCATACAACTGTCTGATTTTTTTTCGATTTCCAGTTCAGAAATGAACTTGAGAAGGAATAAAAATTCCTGTTGAAAGTAGGCTTAAAAAGAGCAGAGTATTACTAAGTGGTGTTACTAAGTGTGTAGAAGTCAGCTATGATAATTTCTATACAGAGAAATCTATTCTGCATATAATATGTCAGGCACAAAGAATCAGGACCACTTGTAAGGTTGTGGCATGTTCAAGCCTATTTTGCAAGAATCTGGTCTACCAAAGTTCAACACTAAATTGGCACCAGGTAAGGGTCAATAGAATTCAGGAGAGATTAGACTTGGAGTGCTCATGGGAACGCAAAGACTCTAAGCTGATAATGCACTTAACTCCACCACCCCCCAGCTCTGCTTGCTCTTCTTCTACTTTTATTTTGATTCAAACCAAACTCTTTATCATGAGAGATCTTTTCCTCCCGACAGTCACAAGTTAATGATGCTTGGAAAAGAAGAAAGCCTGTAGTTGACAAACTAGAAAGGGCTGACAGTTTTTCATCTCTGACCTTCTTTACTCATTTTGCTATTATGTTTTGGTTTAATATGTTTGATAAACATAACCTTATTACCTGGGAACCATCTTCAAAACACACTTTTTCTTAAAATTCATTATATGCCTTTAAGGAACAAAAACTTGCTGACGCTTAGCAAAACCGGATCTAATTCTGGAGAGGAGATTATCCTGCACAAATAGCTGCTTTGAATTCCACAATGGAAAAAGAAGGGAGAGATAAATTTCCACTTCTAGGCAAAAATGGAGATTTTCAAGGCATTTATATAATAACATAAAACTCAGGAGTGAGTAAATAAAATAACTCACTTCTGAGTTTTATGTTATTATATAAATGCCTTATTATATAAATGCCTTCCAAATTGTGAAGACCTAGTATTTTATTGGTAGGATCTCTTATTGCTTTCTCTCCACTTTGCCAAACATTGAAGTGGAACTCTTTTTCTTTTAGCCTAGATTCACTTCCTTCCATCTTTCTTCTTCCCTGGTCCCAAGAAGCTTCTGTGGTCCCTTACAGCAGACTCCCCTGATTCTTTCCACCAGATGTGGCCACCTAAGAAGTTGTGATCTCTTACCTGCGAGCAAATGGAAAGCTGGCAGAGGCACCTGTGGAGAAGTTGCGAGGACTATCAACTGGACTGCTACTGGCTGCAGAGGAGAGGGGGCGATTGGACAGGGGCAGGACAAAACAAAACAATGGACTTTTATTAAAGAATCAAAGGGTATAGAAGAAAGCAAGAGATCTTGAACACCACTCAAAAGCTAAAACTTGGCTAGAAATGGGTGCTTCAAGATCTATTCATCAAATGCCTCTATTCTAGGAATCTATGGAGATTCTCAGTCATCCATGGTTGTCCCAAAGATTTTTTTTTCAAGAGGCAACTGGACTTTCTGTTTTTTCTTTGAAGATTTTTCTCTTCTCATCAGCTCTTGAAATCACACTGACTGCTGGTCAGCTTCTCTGAGCAATTTAAGTGCTGATTACTACTTGAAAGTCCTACATGGCTCAAGACCTGATTATCTCTGAGACTGCCAACTCCAATGTGAATCTGCCAACCATGTAGATCTTGGAGAGAGGTCATGTGAAGGTCCCATCCCATGAGTTTTCTACCTACAGAGAGCTGGTCTCAGGATTTTCTCACTGTGGCCACTCCTATGGTGGAACAGCTTGCCCTTTATCTTCCCTGATAAAGAACATTTTGTTATAGACACTCCCTAATGAGTCCACAAAAAACATGGCTCTAGGAAAAAGCCTAAGGGGGAATATTAGATGTTGGTATCTACCTATGCTAGTGCTATTATAATATTAAATATTCTTTAGCTATGTTAATCTTCTAGGGTCCTTTTTCCATATGTGCCACTATGAAACATTGGGAGGTGAGTAGCATAAAACTGCTGGTAAGTAAGTGAATAAATAAATATTTTAAAAAGTGGTCAGTCTCTGATTTTATTGGATACACACACACACTAATTTTCTCACTCAATAAAATATCCATCAGAGCAGAGGAATCACGCATCTCATGGAAAAGAAGATTTATGTCAGCCCAACCCACTCATAGTGACTCTAGGTGGCTTACAGAAATAAAACCCCAATGCAAAACTCAATAAATATCCACTACCCACCATTCCTCACCCCTGGTGACCACAAGCAAATCAACCACTTGATGGGCTCCATATCATCCTGAGATCTCCAGGCCCCCTGGCAAAATAAGGACCTTTCGAAACAGAATCAAAAGGTGGTGGTGGGGTGTTTTCCAATCTTATTTCCACAAGGATGATGTTCCACAGTGAGAGAGCCACCACAGAGAAGGCCCTTCTTCTTGGTCACACAAGATGGACCTTCTTAAGAGAGGGGATCTATAACATACCCCCCTCCCCATTCTGGTGGTTGGAAAGATATAAAGATGGTCCTTCAAATAACCTGACCCCAGGCTATATGATGTTGGCCATCATGTTGAAAATAATACAAGAGACTCTCTTCCCACAACTTAGAATGCAGTACCAAGATATTCTTCACCAGAGACCTAAGTCCAGCCTAACACTTTTCATGTCTTGGTAGGGATATCCGTCCTCTGTTCCCCCAACAAAGAAGCTTTCATAATTAGGCATACTCTACCTGTTGGCACAGAAAGGGGTGACAAAGGACGTGACAGGGTAGGTGAAGGAGTTCCAACCACTAGGCTCTTCCTGTTGCTTCGACAGCTGCAAAAGCAGAACAAATGATATCATGCCAGGGACAAGGTTTCATAGCAGCAAGTATCACCCAGAACTCTGCGGTGGGAAAAATTCAGAATATTATGGGCGTTAATGATATATTATCAACTCCCAAGGCTAATGGAAAATGGAATGAATATTTAAAAGGATACTGGCTGGGGAATTTTGGGAGTTGAAGTCCACACATCTTAAAGTTGCTGAGGTTGAGAAGCAATGACCTAAAGACCATGGTCATAACGGTAAGCAAATTAATGAAACATTTCGATGCAACAGCCGGTTTTTCAGTCAATTCAATAAAAAGTTATGATCCTGGCACTAGGGTGGAGGAAGTCAGTCTCTGTTCCATTTGTTGAAAGAAAATTAAATGGGAAGCGTGAAGACACAGGCCATTCATTGCCTGGAACTAGTGGCAGACAGCACATCTGCCTCCAGGACTTCAATATCAACCAAAAGATTCCCCCCAGGAATGCAATGGAAAGTCACAGTCAGAAGCATCAGTCAATGAACTTGAGAAAGGAAGTGATTCACTGTTGCCCTAAGCACAATTCACAATGACCTGGGATCCCTTTTCATGGCTGCTTGGCAAGATCAGGGAATGAGGAAAGTGGGAGCGTCCAGCCAGGAGGAAACAGACGGCACAACAAGGCAGAGCCGATTTGCTGACCTGGATCAGGCACTGGCCATTGGCTGGCCATCAGGAGAGGTGTAAATAAAGGCTGTCACAGCTGGACATGGAATATATGCCCCATCCAGCAGCAAATGTAATAGCCAGAAGACAAAAGGAAACAGAGGCATCATGGGATTTTTTTTAAAAAGCAGAGATGAGGCAATCAAACCATGCACAAGTAAAAAAAGGGGGGAGATTTTTAATTGTGCAGTTGTGGCCACCATCTTGACTTTTTTTTTTTTTATCCTAAGATACCACTGAAGTCCACGCATCTTAAAGTTGCCAGGTTGGGGAAACACTGGTTTAGCTATTTTTATTTTAAATAATTGTAAAACCATTTTTCTCCAAAAAAAAAATCAGCTATGAAGTAAATATATTGATAAGAGAAAAATACATGGAGAGAAACCATACTATTGTTATAATAAGGATTTTAATCACACAGGGGACAATCCCATTATTGCTAGCTAATTGGATGCTTCTTAAATAAAGTCTAGTTTGTTTCTGGCCCATTTTTTTTAGCAGAGAACCAATATTTACACGATATTGACCCAAGTACAGTATGTCATTTAGCCATGTTTAGGTCCTTCACATACACACACACACATACACACTACACACAATACTGCTCATCCTTACTCATCAGTCTCTGTGTTTATGAAATCAGCTTCCCATTTTTGATTCATGATTACAGTAAAAGTGTGACAGAGTGATGCCATGGGAAGATAAGATTTCCTCAGGAGCAGGTTAGACATAGCTATATGTAAGAGGAAACACTCCCTCAGCCTCGCTCAACCTCCTGTCCTATCAGACTACATTTTATGTATTTATTTATCAGAGTTTGAAACAGTCTATCACCCTCACAGAGGGACCCTGTATAGTGTTCAATAAAATATGAAAACATAAAAACAGTATATAATTTTTTTTTAAAAGGCAAGGATTATTATTAAAAATGTTAAAAATTCATTAAAAGGCGAAGTTCAGGGCGCTAACCAGTCTCACGACTGCATGTTCTTCTGTGCTTCCCAACAACCCCACAAAGCTATGTATGTTTTCACCCTCTTCCAGAAGGCCAGGAGAGTAGGAGAGCCTGCATCACCTCTGAGGGGAGAATGTTCCACCGAACAGAGGCAATAGCAGAGAAGACCTTCTACCTTGGCCCCACCAGTCCAAGTTCTGGACTTATCATCCCTGCCTGACCAGGTGGGATGGATCGATGTAATGAGACGAAAACAGTATCAAAGGTAGACTGGCCCCATCCATGTACAACTTTAAAGATTATAATCAATAGCTTGAATTGAACCCAGAAACAAGCTGACACCCAATGCAGCTCACGCAGCAAAGTTATGAAATGCACAGTTCTTTGGGTGCCCAAGTTTGTGTTTGCAGCCACATTCTGTTACCAGAGACATGGAGGATAATGGGACTTATAATTGAAAATACAACACATGCTAGAAAATGATCTGGGTTTTAAAAGCTCTGAGTTTAATTCTCATCAGTAGAAGATAATATTTTTTTATTTTGTTTTGTTTTTTATTTGTATCTCAGGGTTGAGCTGTGCAGTTCTTGGAGCTCTCTGAGCTTGGTTGTCTTTAATTCTCATTATTTCCATGTTTAAAAGCCAGCCCGGCTGGTAAAAGCATCTTTCTGCCTGAATTGCGAGAGCTGTTGCTAATCAGACCAGATTATACTGGTCTACGCACACCAAGGCAGCTTCCGGCCTGCCTGCACTCCACATGGCATCTGTGATCCCTCCATCAATTTGTTAGAGGTGGGCTTTTTCTGCACAAACCCCTTTCATTAGCTCTGTTAAGGGTGACTTTAAATGCCGAGGACCATGAACAGCTGCATTCCACAGCTGCAAAGCAATTTTAGGGAGTAAAAGTCTACCATTTCTGTGTCACACCCTGACTTGGGCTCACTAAAAGTCAGTCTAGAGAAAAGCACACAGCAAACCTTAAAGGAATCGCTCCACAACTCGGGACTGAATCAAACAGCACTGCAAAATTGACAAAGGGCATTAGAAAATGCCCACGTTCAAACTCTGCCCCTGTGAAATGTAGATACAACTAAACCAATTACATAACAGGAACAGGCAGATCTTGCAGAGACGATTGCAGATATGAAGATGACGTTTTAGATGGGAAGAATGTTCTCAGATACAGAAGGTGAAACTGAGAGGGAAGATCAAGCGGAATTGAGGTTGCTTTATAAAGGACTGCTTAGCTGCCTCCCCTCCACAAAACTGAACTCTTCTGCCCAAAAGCACATTTCGACAACAGGAAGTGGTGACTTTCCCCTTGCACGTTGCAATCGCTTTAATCACAAAGACATCATTCCAAGCATGATGGTTATTAAAGATGCTACAGGCAAAAAAGGGATTTAATGAATTCCTCTTCCACAGGGATGGAAGGCAGAAGAAGGAAGGAGAGCTAGTCCATTGAAAAGGATATGAATAATGGGGGTGCAGAAATAAAAATTGCTGAAGCAATTAAGTAAATAAAGGTACCATCTTTGTGAAATCCCCTCGAAGAAATATAAAAGCGTTTGCACCTTTTTTGTTTAGCAAAAGACATGTGATGCCTAGTCAGTAATACATGGAATGGGTAAAATCATCCTTGATTTTATTTCCATTTGCCATGTAGTCCCTGACATCTGCCCATTGCAGTGGAACAAAATGGTTATGTAACCCACTCAATTTTACGACCTTTTTTGCAGTGGTCATTAAGTGAACCCAATAAGACAAATGCAGCAGTTGCTAAATAAACCCACTGTATCAAACTAACTTCCAATTTTCAGCAAAACCATCATATAATTCAGTCATATGACCACGTGAAGCTGCAAACAGCCATAAATGTGGCCGTGTTGCTGAGTGCCCACAATGTGGTCACATCACTGACTGTTGAAACTTCAGAATTGGATTGTAACTCCTTTTTTTCGGGTATGCTGTAACTTCCGATGGTTGCTAAGCAACCAATCATATGTAAGTCAAGGACTACCTGCGTAATACTTTAAGACTGACAGACAAGCAATTCAGAATCGACAGCACGTCATTCATTCATGGAATTTACTGCCATGAAGAGCAGTTACTCTATAGATAGCTTTGAAAGGGTAGATTAAACCACAGAACCTCCATATTATTTAAAAGCACTCTATCCCTGAGTTTTAGCAACTAGGATGGTACTGTAGAAGACCTGGTTCCTTTTTGTCCATTTTTTGAGACTGTTCTAAGAGATAGATAAGAACATTGAGAAGAACAGAACCTTTTAAAGCTCGAACCCATACAGGTCTTAAAATTCTTCCAAAAACTCCGACAAATGATATTCACATACATTTTGGTCCTGAAAGCTATGAAAGTACCAGATTCAGAAGAACTACTAAAATGAGTGCTCTAAGTAGATCTGGCTACAAGGCCCCTCTTGGAGGCACCCAGAGGGATCTGGCAGGTTGACCATGTTGGAAATAGTCGTATCTTGTGCACACAGAGCCCAACCTCAAAACTTAGATGTGTTTATTTATTTAATAGACTTATACAGCTGGTGCCCATTCCAGCTGTTCATAACAGCAATAAAACAAAACAAAAAAGAGTAAAAAAATAAATAAAAGCAAAACCTGGCACCTCACCTACCCTTCTCTAATGCTTCCAACAAAACTATCATCAGGCTGCAACCTCATTCTATCCCAATGCTTGGAGAGAGTCAGCTCTTTAGGTCCTTTCAGAAGGTTAAAAGGGGTGGGAGGGGGGGGGGGCTGTTGAATCGTAGAGGAAGGGCACTCCAAGGGCAAGAACTGCTATGGAAGAGGCAGGCATCCTAGATTCTGCTAGATGGCAACGTTTAAGAGGAAGAAAACCAGGAATGCACCCATAATTTTCAACCTGGTGTGATAGGCAGAGAGGGAACGGCAGCTTCAAAGACGATCTTATCCCATGTCATGTCAGGATTTAAAGGGGATAACTCTGAATTGCAACTGGGAGCCAATGTAGTTCACAAACAGCAGTGTAATATGGATGAAGCAAGGGACACTGCATGTTATGCCATATTCTAGACTAGCTATTTCAAGAGCATCCGTATCTAGGGTTTATTGTGGTAGTCTAGGCAGGAAGGGATCAAGGCATGATTGATCATGAACAAGGCCTCTTGGTCCAGGAAAAAGTATAACTGGCATGCAAGACAGATGCAAAGCCCTCTCCCCAACCAGGGTTGTCTCCTGCTCCTTGAGCAGAAGCCGCAAGTCCAGGAGAGGCCTCAGACTATGCACCAGCCCTCAGATTGTGCACCACCGCTAGTCAGAGATAACACATCACTAGATCTTGAGAAAGGAC